GTGAGGACACTCTGATCCCACCCTGGCACCTTCTAAGCAAGACCAGATTGGCAGGAAAGTGGTGGATTAGGAAGGAAAGAGAGCAAGAAATGCCTTCCCCAAGCCCCTGGTGACCCCACTGACCCTGCTCTAACAATACAGAGGTGCTTCAGGTGTTGCCAGGTTTCTCTTTGGAGATCATATGATAAAAATGCAGACAGTACAAGCCACTGGTGGTAAAGGTCACCGGGTAGATTAAATGCCCAGGCAGTACAGACAAGCTCTTTCTGTCGAGCCTCAGGGCAGCCCGGGCTCAGCAGAGGTTGGGGAGCTGCGCAGCAGATGGGTCAGTCTGTATGCAGCAGAGCTTGCTAAGCTGAGAGCCCCAGAGATGGTTTGGGGCCAGATGTGTCTATTTTTTCCCCTTTCATTTTTCCACTGTGAGAGTGGGGATTCTCTGAGCCAGGCAGGGCAGGTGATGCTCTGTCAGGGAAGGTGAGAGCAGCTCGGGAGCTGGTGCTCTGTGGAACTCCTCCTCCTTGTACAACCTGGCACATGGAGGAGGTTCAGCTGCTGCCCTGCTGCCCTGCCAGCCCTGCCAGTGCCCACTGAGGTCTCAGTGAGCTGGCAGCACATCTGCCCAGCGAGGTGGAAATGTTTAAATGCCAAGTAACCCAACATGACTGACCCGTGGAGGGTGCCAGGCCGAGGGAACAACGCAGATGCCCACTCTCTGCATCCAGCATCTAGACACGGGGCCAGCCTGGCATTAAACATTCCTCTTCATCACCTCAGGCTGCTAATCTGCCTCTAGTTGTTCTGCCCAGATACAGCAGTTGAAGTCCCTGGTCCTTTGGTGGGTGTTGTGCTCAGCCTTCATCCCTTCCCAGCTGATGAGCTCAGGCATCTCTGAACAGCCAGTGATGCCCAGCTCTCCCAGCTTCCCTGCCCCCTTCCTCCCTGCTTCCTCTCCAGAAACGAATCCTGTTCACTGCAGGGCAGGCTGGCAAGGCTGCAGTGTCCCTTCGGATAAAGGACAGTCAGTGACAGGCTGGGACCTATCTGACTGTGGCTGGAGCAGGCAGGGAGGGATTTCCAGGAACCTGCACAGGGTCTCTCTCAGACGCATGGTCTCATCCATCAGACCCTTGGTACCAGGTAGTGCTGAGGAGCTCAGGTCCTGGCTGACTGCTTGGTGCTGGGGATGCTGTGAGCCCTGGAGCCATGTGTGCAGCCCCTGAGGAATCTGCAGCGAGCTGGAATCCAACCCTCGGCAGAGTGAGCAGCTAAATGTTCCAGAGCCTGAATGCAGAGCGAGAGAGAAAAGAAGTGCGAGGGTTGTTGAATGGGAAGAGGGGGAATAAACATGGGAAATGAGTCATCCTTATGTCTGTCACTCTGGGAACAGCTTCCTATTGCCCCTGCCTGGAGCTCAGAGGGGACAGTAGCTGTTTCATTCAGGCAGAGCTGGAGAAACCGAGCCAGGCTCTGGCCCGAAGGGAGAGCCCAGGAAATGGGTGAGCGTGTTTGGCTCTAACACGCCTTGACAGGAGCAGTGGTTGGGAAGAGGAAGGTGGGGGAGTGAGGTGAGTTGCTGGGAGGAGCAGCAGGCAGGGAGAGCCCGTTGGGTCTCCTGCTCCGGGCCAGGATTGGTGCAGGATGAGATGGGAGAGGGGAATCAGATGAGCTATCTCTTTTTCCTCCTCTTTGAATAAATTTCTGTGTTTCAACCTGCAACTGAGTTCTGATCATGCTCTCCATCTCCATCTCTACAAGGATGCTGGCAGACATGCCTGATCCAGGTCCAGCACACTGTGACTTGTGGTGGTCAGAGACCCTCTGAGCACCACAGAATCAACCCCTTTTTTTTTTTCCCCATTTGTTCATTGAAGGCAAGGGGTGAAGCCCAAGCAGCACTGAGTCCAAGCAAGGAACACAGCCTTTTTGAGCTGGGACGTGCTACTGGTCATCAGCCCAAGGCACTTTTCCTCCTCCAGCTCATCCTATGCAGTACCATCATGCTGGTACGTGGCAGCACACAGCTCTGGAATGAGCTGATGTTACCTGGTGCTGCTGCCATGGGGTACAGGGGCATTTCAAGCTGTTGGAGCCCTTCTGGGAGGCAGCTGAGCCATCCTGGGAGCTGCTCAGCTCTTTTCCCCCAACAGCATGAGCCCTTTTCACTACACTCCCCATCTCACCCACATCTCTTCCCAGCCCATACAGACCCCAGCGAGGCAGCCCAGCTCAGTATTTGATGCTGACTACAAATTTCCCAGCTCCAAGGGCACAGTGTTTCCAATGGGAGAACTCCAGGCAGCCTGTGTTTGCACTCAGGGCTGTTTCTAATCATCTAGAATACAGTGAGTCTATTTTTAGTTGTTGTGGGGTTTTATTTTAATTAATTGCACAATGCTGGCAGGGCTGTTTCTAATCATCTAGAATATAGTGAGTCTATTTTTAGTTGTTGTGGGTTTTTATTTTAATTAATTGCACAATGCTGCTTTCCACCATTTTTTTCACCTCCCCATGACCACTTACCCCATACTGCTGCTTATTCAGCCAAAAAATAACGTCCCCCCCCCAAAACACCACAGTGCCTGATTCATTGGCTCTACAATGTGTCATGCCATCTGTGCCTTTTGTCAGCTCTTAAACCCAATAGTACCACATTTGGGGAAGAAAATGGAGTAGAGGAGTTCACTTCCAGAGGAGTGGGACCTCTTCCAGCTTCCACTGACTCCACCAGAGAGAGGGTGAAGATTCTTTTGAAACCTGCATCTTTCATTAATGTCAACTAGTCAAGGCTGCAAATGGCTCATTTTCCAGGTCAGGGAGCCTAATGCCTGCAGGGGAGATTTGGGAAGTTCAGAAGGAGTAGGAGGGGGCATGCAAGTAAAGAGAAAAAAGGGGAAAAAATACAAATTCTAATTATGGAGAGAAAAAAAACCCCTGCTTCCTGGGAATGGTGACATTTATCCAAAGTTCCCTTCTGAGTGAGGATGGCTAGTCTGGGAAATACAGGACCCTCAAAGCCAGTCTTGGCCCTACACAGCCAAGCTGTGGTGGGGAGCACCAGCACTGTGGGACCTAGATCTGAAGCCCAGGCACGGAGTTGACACCAGTTTGGCTCTGCTTTAAAGCAGTGCTGGGCTGGGCAGAAGAGTTGTCTGATGTACATCTGCTCCCAACACTTGGGAGCCTCCTGAGCTCACACGATGGGCTCGTTCTTCATTCCTGCGCATTTCCCTCCCTGTTTTCCTCTCCTTGTGTGCTCAGCCACAGTTCTGGGAGGCTGAGTCCAGCACAGATTGGGCTCTGGAGCACATCCTTGCCTCATCCAAGCAGCCCCATGTGTGTGAAGTCATGTGAATCGTGGCTGGAGGAACGCATGAGGCCAAGTGCTTTTTTGGCTTTCTCCTCTTTTCCTCCCCCCTCTGCCCCCAGCACTGTGCCCAGGTTGTTTTTCAGCTGCAGTTTTGATAACATGTTTATATAAACATCTCAGCTGGAATCTGCCTCTGTCCCTGGAGGCACTGCCTGGCTCCAGCCTGAGGCAGGCAATGCCCCCGTGGGTGTTCACACCATCCTCAGCCTCTTCCAGCCAGAAGGGAAAGCAGCAGAGGTGGCACCTCAGGGACAGAAAGGACCTTATGGTGACAGGGAACATCCAACTGTTTTGATTTCTCTTAAATACAAGCTTTGGGGTTTGGCTTGGCTCTGCTGATGATGGTTCAGGTTCATCCTCGTGCCCTGCTTGCTCAGGGCTCCTCTCCACTCACCTCTCTGCTCCTATTTGGTGGTAGGAGCAAGGCAGGTAATTGTTTCCCTTTTCTTACTAATAGGTATAAAATGCCTGCCCAGGGGGTTCACTTTCAGCTCATTTACTGTGCATCCAATGCCAGATGTTGGTTTCTTAGAATACCAAGGTGAGCTCTGATGCTAAAATCATTGCAGGCATGACAAGCCTTGCTCTTTGGTTTGGTGCTTTAAGGAAGTTTTAGATGTTAATCTTGGGATTGGGTGGTTTGGCAGTGGAAATCTGAATGATTGTTGCCCTTAACATCAGGTCAAAGGGAAAATTCTGGATCTTTTTTCAGAAAGGAGAGATGGGTAAGAGCTAATCCTTCCTTTGCTCTTAAATCCAGCTCTACCTGGATTTTGCATCCAGTGATGCCTCTGGTTTAAATCCAGTGCTGCCTGGATTTGGGGGAAGGGCATGATGAAAAAAATACTTAAAACTTCTTGCTCTTCTCAACTCACCCTTGGTCAGGTGGCACTCTGCCATCTCTGCTGTGCCTCTGACAGCCCGTGGGTCCCCAGAGAGCAGCTGTGTGCTAGTGCAGGCTGGTACAGCAGCTGCAGGCTCCCTTCTCCAGCCTCTCCAGGGGCTCTGTTTCCTCCAGCCTTCAGTCAGGTCAGCCTGAAGGATTTACATGGCTCTGTCTGAGGCACCAGGGAAGGGCAGACTGAAGGTGACAATGCAGGAGGTTTAGGTGTGAGGCTTTGGTAGCCAGTAGGCACCTTCCCCAGTGCAGAGCACCCACCTGCAGCTGGAACCTCCAAGGAACCTCCAAGGTTACCTATCAAGAAGTTAATCTCTTACCTTGTCCAGAGAAGAGCAACGAGGCTGGTGCAGGGGCTCGAGCACAAGTGCCATGAGGAGAGGCTGAGGGAGCTGGGGGTGTTCAGCCTGGAGAAGAGGAGGCTCAGGGGAGACCTTCTCACCCTCTGCAACTCCCTGACAGGAGGTTGGAGTCAGGTGGGGGTTGGTCTCTTCTCCCAGGCAACCAGCAGCAGGACAAGAGGGCACAGACTCAAGCTCTGCCAGGGGAGGGTTAGGTTGGATATTAGGAGGAGATTTTTTACAGAGAGAGTGATCAGACATTGGAATGTGCTGCCCAAGCCGGAGATGGATTCATCATCCCTGGAGGTTTTCAAGCTGAGACTGGATGTGGCACTTAGTGCCATGGTCTAGTAACCACACTAGGGTTCAACTTGATGATCTTGAAGGTCCTTTCCAACCTGATTGATCCTATGATTCTACCAGCCTAACGCTGGCACAGATATACACACCTGAGGAGGAAGATTTGGAGTGCCCTAAGGATAGAAAGCGAGACAAGGTCCGAGTGGGTATGTAGGTCATGAGATTGCAAGAGAATCAGGCTGGGCTGGGGCTGCTGGGCAACAGCACTGTCTGTCTCTGTTTCTGAAGGATGTGGGCCCTTGGCAGCACCAGCAGCAGCAGTGCTGCCTGCTGATTCACTCTGCCAGCACTTGCCCGCTGGCAGTAGCAGCAGCAGCAGCAGGAGAGGGCACAGCATGAACACAGCCCTGGGCGAGGGCACTGGGACCCCTATGTGCTGCGGGGGCTGGGGCAGGGCAGGCTGCTGGGGCTGTTTCATAAAGAAGTTGCTTCATGAAAGGAACAGAAAGTGCAGGAGGAAGTGACAGAAAAAGCACCAGACGGAGAGATCTTTGTGGTTTTTTTTGTCTTCCCTCTTAACGGCAAATTAACCCCCGGTTTCAGTGCTGTCATGCCTTCAGATCTTGAAATGTGGGCAAACGAGGCTTTTTTGCTTTCTGTGCATCATTTGACGAAAATCAAACCTAGCAGTACTGAAGGCCCATTTTATTCATCTTCTGAATGAAAGGATTATTAAAACAGCTCTTTGGCTTGCTCCCCATGCCCTGAACACCTCTGTGCACACATGCCTGCATCCCTCCAGTTGCCCTGACATCACCTTTGACCTTAAAAAATATTGTCAGTGCAAAATACTGAGGGGCAGTGGTAAACACCACGCATTGCTAAAAGCACATGGCATCTGTGCTACTGATCCATGGGTGGGTTTGGTGGGGAATGGTCTGTAGTGGGTATATTGAACACCATGGAGGAGACACTGGGATCCTTTGGGATGCCCAGACTGGATGCAGAGTCCTGGCTGAGCTTCTCAGCAATGCAAAGGGTGCTGACTTCAGCAGAAACAGCTTGGGCGAGAGTCTTCTCTTGGCAGCACTGGTGCATCATTTCTCTGAAAGGAATTTGAGCCTGGGTTCTCAAGATTGCCTCCCAGAGCTTCAGCTTTCACCCAGTTCTTGCCCAGGGTGAGGTGAGACTTGTGGGAAATGCAGATGATGAGCTCTGAAAATCGTTTCCTGAAGCACTTTGCTGGATTGAGGCTGTGGGGGGTCACCTTGGTGGGGTGAGGAGTGGGGCTGGGGGGGATTTAGGAAGCCCAGTGTGAGCAGAGCTGTGTGCTGCCTGGCTGCAGCAAGGCCACCCTGTAATGTCCAACCAGCCCTGGCACTCTGTGACCCTCCGTGGCTGTGAGCTGGGCTGGCAACATTCGACCTTAGCAGGGAACCAGGGTGAGTGATTGCTCCAGGGCTCTGCAGCCTGTCTGCAATCCCTCCCTCCCTTTCTCCCCACTAAACCTCAAAATGCAGAGAACTGCTCTGCTGAGTGCTGGGGTCCCCATGGGCATGCCAGCAGGATCTGGGCAGTCCCTGATTATCCTTGTCCTTGTCCTCCTCAACCCATCGCTACCACTATAGGGCCAGTGGTGTGACCAACCTCCTTGCAGCCCCTTGCCACCTGCAGCCACTTCATTTCAGGTGCCTCCTTTCCTCCGTGTCAG